GGCCTAATATGCCAATGAGCTGTGCTGTCAGGGGTGTGGCCTAATATGCTAATGAGTTTCCTGCTGTTGGGTGTGGCCTATTATGCTAATGAGTTCCTGCTGGGCTTTTTCTACAAAAGAAGCCCTGCTTTTGTCCATCTTGAATCTATTGCCCATCAGCTTCTTTGGATGCCCTTGAGTTCTGGGAGAGGGAGAAAAAGTCCTTTGTCAACTCTCTTCACCCTGTGAATAATTTTATAAACATCTATCACGTTCCCCCCCCCCCAGTCATCTCTTTTTCTCTTCTTCACTACAATCCATGGCCCCACCTGGCTATTACTCCACCAGGTCCCATGAAATCAACTTGCCCAAGGTCAGAAATGGTGTCTGGGAGGAAGGAAAAAGTGGGGAAGATCTGCAGCCCTTGTGTGAACAGTGGTACATGTACTCCTTTTGAAAGTGAAGCATGGTTTTTAAAATCAGTCAGAACAGGAGCTTAGCCATCCATGTGGAACCTCCCCTTAGACCATCTTGCCGCTCTTTCATTTGCCCTGCAGATTGGACAAGGGTCTGAATTTGGGATCTGTTTTGATGGTTCTTCTAGGGCAAGGATCTACCCACGCTAAAAGACATTGATTTTCTAAACATGAACCAGAAGGTGTACGTCAGTGAAGAAGCCAAAAAGGACTTCATGGAGAAGCTAAAGCGAGATGTGGAGGTATGGGGGTTGCCTAGGCCCAGTGTAGCCTAGCTAACAGTGATTCTGCACTAGACCTTAAATCCTGGTTCAACCCTGTCCTCGAACTTACATTCCACACTACACTTGTTCATCCCCGTAATTATCTTAGGGTATTTTTTGTTGCCACATTACATTGAGGGCACCCCAGTTTCACCCCACACTTGTCCCGGGATAAACGGATGCTGTTATAACCAGGGATAAATGCAAGGTATTGTGTTGCGAGCTGAACTCTGATCAAATCAGGGATGTGATCCAAGTGCGGAAAGGACCTAAGAGAGTAGTGTTTGACTAGTGAAGATCAAGTGAGAAATGAGGAAATAGGTTCAAACAAGGAATGTCTGGAGCTAGAATAAGCTCGTTTTTAGAGTGGTAATGAAGCTGCCTTATATTGACTCAGACCATCAGTCACCAAGGTCAGTATTGTCTACTAAGACAGGCCGTGAACCTCGAAGGTCTCAAGCAGAGGTCTTTCACATCACCGACCACCTGATCCTTTTAACTTGAGATGCTGGGGATTGAACCTAAGACCTTCTGCATACAAATTACATACTCATCTACTGCGCCACAGCCCCTTCCAGCTGTTATTCCCTTCCAGCCCTTCCAGCCCTTCCAGTTGATGTTTTTCAAAAGCTTGGCTGTAGAAGGCCCTCCAAACAATTCTCTTATTCCTTGTGCACGGCCATGTTTTTGAACAGAAGGTGGTGTTGACCAACATTTCCCGATGAAGAGTTTATTCTAATTCAGAACAGGTTGGGTTTGAGTGTCTGTTGTCAAGCTGGCTTCGAGAAGAGGGATGATGCCTTCTGCAGGGTTGGACTTCAGTTTCCGAATAGTCTAGCCCTTCTAGTCTAGTCTAGCCCTTCTAATGCTTCTAGCCCTTTCCCCAGCAACTTTCCAGTAAGTGCTGCCCACCTGTGCTTTTCTGTGGGGTCTTACTTGTGGTAGTTGCGTAAGAGCAGCTGTATCAGTCTTGAGCTGTGGGGGAAAACATAGAAACCCATTCTTCAGCTCCTCCAATACCCCTATTTAGAGTGGTAATATTGCAGTAGGGAGGAACCACTACATGGGCATCTGTTGTTTCTTTGGTGGTGCATGAAGAAACCATTCCACAGCCACCCCACACCACCAGCATAACGCAAGACCACTCTCCTTCTCCCTGACAACGCCACACTTGCTGTATCTCCCACCTGCCAGGTCCTCCCAAATCTACGTTGCACATCTGCTTCGTTTTCATCTGACCAGCTTCTTGCCCAGTGATTCCCTAATACAGTGTCCACTGATTCTTCCCCTGGCTTTCCTTCACCTCATCAAAGCAGGAGGTGTTCCAGAATGCTCCGGTTTGTAGAGAGCACCCTTTTGGAAATAGCCACACATACCCATAAAAACATGCTTGGCTAGGGCTATTTTTGGGCAGGAACGCACAGGAACGGAGTTCCGGCTGGCTCCCGAGTTGGCCACGCCCAGCAGGAACTCATTAGCATAATAGGCCACACCCAACAGCAGAAACTCATTAGGATTGGCCACGTTAGGGGTGTGTGGCCTAACATGCAAAGGAGTTCTGGCTACAAAAAAAGCCCTGTGTTTTGACAACAAACAAGGTAAACAGAATAAGAAGCAAAAGGTGGGTGTGGCTGGATAACCACCCTTCTGGTAACATGGGAGTGCGGCCTAATGTGCTAATGAGCTGTGCTGTCAGGGGTGTGGCCTAATATGCTAATGAGTTCCTGCTGTTGGGTGTGGCCTGTTATGCTAATGAGTTCTTGCTGGGCTTTTTCTACAAAAAGAGCCCTGTGTTGGCTCGAAACCTCCCTGTGTTTTGTAACGTCTGTCTTTGTGGCAGCCATTTTGTGCTTGCTGCCACCTCCCATGGTAGCCATTTTCTTGATCGCATACAAAATTCTCAGAATTCAAAAATCCCTAAAAGGGCTCACGGGCTCAACAAATCTGAGGTGCCCCGGGCTGCCCCTTAAGACCACAGTTTCCTCATCCCGTGCTGTCTGAGAGTGAACGTGGATGATGGCAGTTGACAGCCCAATCCTCTTGAATCTTCCGGTTGGAGGACCGTCATGGTTACTCTGCTGCCAATAGGAGGAGGCTGTATGACACGACATTGCCGCCCAGTGAAAGGAGCTGCTGACAGATCGCCACTGCCAGTCATAGAATCACAGTATCACAGAGTGTGTTTTCCAGTGTGTTCAGATCCCGTTGAATTCTCTTATCTTCTGGTGGGTTCGCTGGTCCTCCCGATTTGGTGTCGTCTGCAAATTTAACGAGTAGCCCCTCCACACCCTCATCCAGATCATTTATAAAAGTATTGAAAAGTACCGAGCCCTGTGGCACCCCACTGCACACCTCCCTCTGTTCAGATGAAATGCCATTGACAACTACTCTCTGGGTACCATTCTCCAACCAGTTCCCTATCCACCTAACTATCCTACAGTCCGGTCCACAGTCCTTTAGCTTACCCATCAGAACATCATGGGGGGGGGACCCTGTCAAAAGCTTTACTGAAATCCAGTCCTGCTGTGTGGCCTGGCAGAGGTAGAGGACAGGCAAGGATGTATAGTTTGGAAACGCCGTACTGAGGGACTCTGTGGAGAAGTGCAAGTATTGGCCCCATCTCTCTGACCTTTGGAAGACTGAGAGCAGCTGCTCTTCAGTGAGCTTGGTCACCCACTGGGGCCGCTCACCAATGTTCCCTCTAAGCTGTAGAGTCCTGTGAGCAAAAATTCTACTTTGCGAGCTTGCCGGCATGAAAGTTGTGAGCGGGCAATTTGTCTGCTGCAGCAATCAGTCTGCTCTGGAGCTTAGCTTCCTGAGCGAAGACAAAAACGTGTGAGCTGGGGGCTAAAAAAACTGAGCTAGTTCGCACTGACTCAGCTTAGAGGGAACATTGCCCCTCACCCATTTGGACCAATCTGAGAGCAGATTTGCATTGTGGGGTTTTTAGGGCTAGCTCCAGCGAGTGTGGGAGTCCCCCCAGCCCTCCAGGCAGGCAAGAGGCCCAGCTCCTCAACACTTCCGTCATTCATTCTCATTCACACCCCAGAAGGTCAGAGGTGGTGTGGGAGAGCTCTCCACATGCTTGAACCGGGTGGGTGCCTTTGCTCAAGGGCCAGCCGTGCCTCGGAGACAGCACTGTGGATTGAGCAGAAGGGGAATTGCTTCCGAAGGTACTTTTGGATCAGCGGCAGGGCTCTTGTCTCTGGAGGGCTTGCCGAGCAGCAAAAGTGACACTTCCATTAGGAGTTTAAAGATTTTTAGCAGCTGGATCTTCTAGACAATTGGGGATCGGAGCAGGGAGGTGGCTTTACCCATTACATTTGTTTCCCACCCTTCCACAGAGTTAAGGGCAGCGCACACACGATTCTCTCATCTTCCATTCTGTCCTCCAACAGCCTTGATAGGTTAAGATGTAGAAAGAAGGACCAGCCCAAGGTCACTCGGTGAGTTTCGTGGCTGAGTGGGGTTTTGAACCCAGATCTCCCAGCTCCTAGTCCGACGCTCTGCTACCCCACACTGGTGGTCTTTAGATGGTCCTGTCGTCATGACTGCCTTGCATATGATTTTGGTCGTCTCTTAGGGATATATACAGGTAGACATGATTTTGGTACTGGAGATACTATGGAGACGTGCGTCTCAGACATATACAGTCTTCACTGCAGGATCAAACCTGGGAGGGCATCAGTTCAGTTGGCTTGCAGTGGGAGCCAACTCTGTACAGTACTGATTGTTTGGTGAGGAAGGGGGGGGGAAGGAAGGAAGGAAGGAAGGAAGGAAGGAAGGAAGGAAGGAAGGAAGATGATTGTTTGGTGAGGAAGGGGGGGGGAAGGAAGGAAGGAAGGAAGGAAGGAAGGAAGGAGAAGGAAGGAAGGAAGGAAGGAAGGAAGTCAACCTGCCTGCTCAGTCAGCTGGGGTTGTCTTCCCATGTGCTGGGCGGGACTGGGCACCACCTTCCCCTGGCTGTTTGGGGCTAGAATAGGGATGGGAGTGCACTTTCCCCACTGTGCTGGCCCAGGTGGTGGCGGGGGGGCATCAGACTACTGGAGGAGCCCTGGTGTTTATAATGTCCAGTCTGCCCATGAATGGGACTAGAGCCGAGGTTAGCTTCCAGGACCAGAAAAATGCTTGCAGCCGATATCTCATCAGCTATCACATTTCCTCAGGGACTGAGTCTGCAGCGCTGAAAATGCTTCTGCAGTGCAAGATCCACCCTATTAGATTTAATGACTTCTAATAGCATGTGATATGGGGTGGTTGTTTTTTTTTGCAGATGCTCAAAGTCTTAATTGCTAACCCCACCAATACTCGGTGCAGCCTTTTCTGTCCGTCTGCTGCGTCTGCGCCAAATATTCCGATTATTGCACAAATCCAGTCGTGTCAGCAGCAATCAGGAAATTATACAAAGGAGATTTCCTGCTTGCAGAACTTAGAGCGTTTGCGCGTAGTCAGGGCAAGTCGCCAAATGATAGCCCCTAGGAAAACTGCATGGGAGCATTGTCCAAAAACTTGCCTGTTCTGAATTCTCTGCTTAGTCTGGGATTGCCTGGACATTTTTTCCGTGAGGAGGAGGAAACTTGTTTCTTATTTTTGTAGGGCATCTGTGCTCGCTTTTCTTTTGCTGTTTGTGATTCCCCCCGTCTGCGAGTCAGAAACTGAGGTGCTCTCGGAATTTGCTACTTTCCAGAGAGGAGATCACGTCTAGCCCTTTGCATGCATCCACGTCAAATCTTGCCTCAGCCACGCACTCATTAGTAGGGTTGCCAGCCTCCAGGTGAGGCCTGGAGGTCTCCTGGTATTACAACACATCTCCTGATGACAGAGATTGGTTCCCTTGGAGAAAATGGCTGCTTTGGAAGTTGGTCTCTGTGGCATTGTACCCTGCTGCGGTCCCTCCCCTCCCAAAGCCCTGTCCCCCCAAGGTTTCACCCCCCAAAATTTCCCAGCACAGAGCTGGCAACCCTACTCATTATGTAACTTCCTCCGCCCAAAAGTGTCCCATCTGCAAGATGGGGCTAATCCTATTGTCCTACCGTACAGGGCTGGTATAAGGATTATTGTGGGCAGAGCACTTCACACACCTAAAATGTGTAGTAGTGTGCACTTCTGCATTTAGTATTAATAGGTAATGCATCCTCTTGTCCGTAATGGCTGCAGAGAAGGAACAGAACGGAGCCCTACTGTGTTAACATTCACATGAACAAAGGCTTCCTGAGTAGAACAGCTGCTGAGATTTAGATGGGTCATTTCCAGCCGGAACGAGCCAGGATGGCACGCAAGCCGGGGAAGGCGAGCAGAGAAGGGAAGAAGAAGAAGAAGAGATTGGATTTATACCCCGCCCTTCACTACCCAAAGGAGTCTCAGAGCAGTTTACAAACTCCGTCCCCTTCCCCTCCCCACAACAGACACCCTGTGAGGTGGGTGGGGCTGAGAGAGCTCTTGACAGAAACTGCTCTATTTCAAGAACAGCTGTGCCAGAGCTTGTGACTGACCCAAGGTCATATCAGCAGGTGTAAGTGGAGGAGTGGGGAATCAAACCCGGTTCTCCCAGATTAGAGTCCTAGTACTTAACCACTACACCAAACTGGCTCCCCCCCCCCGGCCCCCTG